TAGATGGTCTAATTATACCATTTCTTAGCAAGTCACGCACTTCTTTATTCACAAAATCTGCTACGCCCATAGGATAAGGATATAGTTTCGAATAAATGGGGTCGTCACACTCAGTTCGAATGGTAGCTACAATATTTGTGTTGAACGGAAGTAATTCGTCAGGATCAGCAAATACCGTTTGTTCACTTTTTAATAATTTTTGAAATTTTTCGTTAACTTTTTCTGGAATTTTAATATCCTCAATTCGAGTGAAATTTACATTCGCACATTTTAAAAACTGGATCGGTTCTGATCCCGTATTATACTTCAAATTTTTATTTTTAAAATCTATTTTTGCATCGATTTGTGTTAACAAATCGAGGCCGATGATTCCATCAAATTTTGTAAGATCGGGTAATACAAAAAAGGTGCTATTAATATTAAACAGGTTCACGAAGCATTTATCTTTAATTTCATTAAAACCATGTATTGATTTTACTATAAAAGTGTTGCTTACTGGTTTTGTATATCTTAACTCTTTAAGAGGTTTAATGTAATTCTTTGACGCACCGGTGTCAATCAGCAGTTTTATAATTTTCCCTGCAATATTCCGCTCTATGAATGGTAGCAGGGAGTTTCCACTAAAAAATTAACATGGTCAAAATTATCAGCATCGTCATCAATTTCTATTAGTGATTCTTCGGCTAATTCATCGTATTTCCTCATTTCTTGTGTTGGAGAAGTGCTTTCGTGTTGCATAAAATTCACTCTCTGCATTTTTTGCCCTGTTAATCTTTCAGAGTCATTTCTTCTTTTCAGATTTTGGTCCTTATATTGAACCCCGAAAATAGTGTTGTTGTATTTCTCTGACGTATTATAATTACTCCTTTGAGTTTTGGCACTGTTCCAGTGTCTCGTCCTAGATGAGGTTGGATCTACGTCCATTTTTTCAACTTGTCTTTTTTCAGCATTTTGTCTTACAAAATATGGATTTTTGTTTTGATTATCAACTTGATTACTTTTAACGTAATTGCTTACCTCACTATATCTGCCCATACTTCTTTCATTATTTTGAAGCCTTTGTTCAGTTCTGTGAGCTTCATCTTCCAGACTCCTCGCGAAGTTGGTTGCGAATTTATAACGCTCATGGTTTGCCTCAACTTCTTGTGCCAGAGCTAATGCTGCGGGTAAATTGGTTGGCTGTGCCGAGAAAAGAATGTTGCTTAAGGCCCTTTTTGTACCTGAAATAAATATGCGCAACGCATCCATTCTGTATTTTTCATTTAAGGATGCTGCCAAGGTTCCATTATAAGTCATAATTACTTTGTTGGTAAGCAAAGTCAATTTTTGTTCCACTTGTTCATAGAATTGTAAAAGAGTCAGGTTACCCTGACGTAGGGTAGACATCTCCTGTTCGATGAGGTAAATAGGCCGCTTATCAGCGTATGTAAAGTCAAGACGTGCTATTATAGCTTTAAAATTGAGAACAGTGTTAAAGGATGCTAAAACCATGTCTGCCGATCCTTTTATTTTATTTCGTATAATGGCAACTGCCTGGTAATGTTTCGAGCTCCCATTATGGTTTTGAAATAATTTATAAGCAACGTGAGCCGCTTGTCGCCATGATACGTAAGTTTCTTGCCTGCCCTCAAAGTCAGGCAGAGATTTGACAATGTCAAGTGATTCTTCACATTTTATTCCACTGATTATTCTTGTTTCCTCATAGATTTCTACATCCGGGGTATTTACTGTAACTTTATTTAGACGTTTACTTAACTCATCTAATTGTTTTTCAAAGATTTGCCTCTGTGAGGCAAGAGCACCACTAACGGCAGCCTCAATTACGGCTTTCAGCTGGTCTTCATTCATTTTTTCACTATGAACAACTCTATGGCGTTCCTGTATATGTTTAAGTTTCTATTGCAGAGCCGCTATTGGTAATAGGCTTCTAATAAAGAGTTTGCAAGGGAGGGCTATCGCAACAATAATAATACAAAAATAATATTATTTCAAAAAATTTATTTAATTCTAGCAATACAATTGTAAATTTAAATATCTTAAATATCTAAGAATAATATAAAAAAATTCTCCTGTTGTCGCGAAAGTGACTGGTCGCGCCCTGAGTTCCTCCAAATGTTATATTATGTTTTGTTCGTATTACAACTGTGTACCTTTTGAAACCACCAGCACACTTCAATTATTTTCTTTTAAATTGTTTATATGTTGTTTACTTTAAATATTTTTTGTCTTTATTTTAAATCACCTCTCAGCTGCACGTTTGCAATGTTTTTTTGTTTGTAATTAAAAAATTATTTGTTGTTTTAAAATGCAAAAAGAGGTAAAGTTAATGCAAATGTTTCTTTCTTCGTGGACAGTTCCCACTGTACAACAATTTTTATTTCTGTTCGGATTTTTATAAAATAAATCAATCCACTAATTTATAGTCATTTTCAGTTTAAATTGACTTAGTTGTTTTCTTTTATAATTATTAATAATTTAAATATCGCGTTTAACAAAATACAAAAAACGTGCTGAGACAAGCTTTTCCGCACGCAGTATTTGCTCAAAACGTGTTTTTTCACTTCGGTGTGTTTGGAGCTGAATTTTGGTTCAGCATTACTTCCACATTTAACATTTATTGCCCTTAAACTTTTTTTATTCGAGCCATACGTTGGGCGCCAATTATTTTATTACCAATTATCAATTATTTATTTCTTTATTAAATATATGTTTTACACTACAGAGCCAAAATTGAACTGAACTCTTTCATATGTGAGGGAGCTTTTTACAACACTCTCACCTGAGAGCTTTTAAACATAATTCATCGGATATTTTTATTTAAACATAGAAGTGTGGCTGATTACGTGTTAACTTATATATGGATATGACACTGAGCATAGTCCATATGCGCCTTTCTTTTTTCAGATCTTAATAATTATTATTACGACTCATATTATATTAATATATATTGTCATTTATACCTGACAGATTGTAATAAAATAAATGGATTAAAAAAAATTGATTCATTCATTTCGTGTCAATTTTAGTGTTAAGTCTTTATTCAAATCAAAAAAATTAGAGGCAAACAGGGCGTCATTTTATTGGATCCAGAAAGTAGACGAAATTGCCGATAATACATATAGAAATAAGCCCTAATAATCACAGATTTCTGATTATTTTTTGAATATGCCCTAACCGTACATTATTGCTTATAAGCAGTTTTATTTTATTTATTTGCTAATTAAAATAATAAAATGCTTTAAGACCCTGACCCTAAATATGAGTTTAAAATTCTCAAACACTTACACTTCAAACTATAATGTTTTATTTAATCAATATTTTATATAATTAAAAATAAAAAATTAATTAATAAACATATTTTAAAAATTTGTCATTTTTTATTTTCATTAAATTAAGGTAACTAAACAAAAAGCAAATATGTGTTTACTTATATTTTTACTCTTACAGAAATATATACAATAATTTTAAATAAAATTCTAACATATTAAATATATTCAAATATTTTTTTTTTTTTGTTGTAAATTTCGCATAAGCCTGGAATAAAATATTTATCATAGTAACTTTTAAAAACACAAAACCTTAGCTTCTGTGCTTATAAACAAAATCATTTATTAAAACATAATTTAATAATCGATTGGAACAAATTCTACTTAAATGCTTTTCATTTTATATATTTTTTATATATTTTACGATTATTTTGTGTCACGAACTGAACATTTTTTATATATTATTCTAGTGTATGGCATATGATAGGAAAACTGTTTCTGTGAATATAAAATTATGTAAAACATTGTATAAATATGTTTCAAAATACAGATTTTGGAAGGTTTAGCAGTATTACATTGACAAATTTTTTATATATTGGAAAGTGGTCTTGCTGTTTATCAGTCTTTGAAAAGTCTTCAAATAATCTATTTCTTTTTTTTTTTGTTATTTATTTTATATTTATGATGAGGTCAATATTAAACAATTTAGCTCAGTTAAAATTTTTAAAATAAAACAAAAATTTTATACAATGGTACCTTCAACTGTTGAATAAGGTGGACAAATTTTATCTTAATCCTTAAGCATTTATAAGATATATAAAGTTTACATACTTAAACCTTATTTAATTAACTTATTTTATAAAATGTTAAATGAAATATTGATCAATTGAGTTCTAGCTTTTTTATATACAACTTTAACATTTAATTTAAAAATGTATATCATTTTATATATAAGACATTAATACAGCATAAATATAAATAATGTGTAATATAAACATTTAAGTTTAAATGAGATACGAAATTTTGCATGGTCAATTTTTATATAATTTTAGTGTTTTAAATGTTCTTTGTTTTTAAAACTAATTTAACTACCATTTCATAAAACTAATTTATATAATTAATTCAATAATTTTATATAATAAAGAAATTATGGTCAGCCAAAAATTCAATTAATTAAAATAATTTAAAAAATAAATTTTTGTTGTTGTTTCACTTCTGTTCGAAAACCTCTTTATATAAAGAAATTATTAAAACTGTTTTTAAAATATGTTGAAACATTTTCGGGTAACATTTATTTTTATCTACATATTCAATGTGTTAGAAAAAAACTTGTACATTTGGAACAACCAATGCTATACATCGCGAATAAATCTCCATAAGTTAACTTTAACTCCATTATAATTTTGTATTAACATTATGTGTAATTGTACATAGAGTCAAAGCACTTTTTTTATGAATATTATACGTATATAGGTGAACATTCCAAAATGTTTATGAATTTAATACATTACATTACCATTGCATTCCAGTAATGGTAAATTGAGTAAAAACAAAAACTTTGGGGGCTATCGCAAAATCAACTAGTTGCAACTATTGAAAAAGATATTTAATTGCACATGGGTTATTGAATTTATAATTTAAAATGTCTATATATTTTTTATAAAATAATCAATAAAATGTATTTATCTCTTATTTACTTATTTCAAGTAATGAAAAAATTATTTTTAATTAAAACAATATAAAAACTGTATGCATAATTATATCCGATCCAACGCAAATGCGTAAGTGAAATAGTATTTATATTTATTTTATGGGTCAGTTTATTACAAACAATAAAACATTTTAATAAAATGTTCAGTGTTTAATTTTGTCCTCTACTGTTATACTAGCCAATGTTTTTTTAATTCTAAGTGCTGTTAATCTCGCAACAGGATTTGGATACCAACACTCTTTCATTACTTTGGCCATGCTGTGAAGCACGTCAGACGTGTGCCAACGATTTGGTATACTAGGTCGCATTTTATCACCACATACAACCTAATATAAAATATTAAATAAACATTATTATTCGAATGCAGTGAATTTTCAATGCAGTATTACCTTTCTCATTTCCTCAATACTTGGGTCAGGTTGCACCACATCATAATATGGTAATTGATATTCATCATACATCATTCCACTATTGCAACGACGTGCTATCTCCCATAATATTAACCCAAAAGCATATACATCAGCACGTTTGTATGAATCAAAATGTTGTGCGCTCATACTTTCATCTAGTACTTCGGGTGCCATATATCTTTTCGTGCCCACACGATGAGTTGAAGGAATATCAACCGAATCATTTTTTTCAACGTGACGTACAGCTAAACCCAAATCTCCAATAGCACAACTTAAATTTGACTTTACTAATATATTTTTAGACTTCAAGTCACGATGTGCTATGGCTGGCTTTCCTCGTGTACCTACAATATCCATATGCAAGTGTGCTAAACCAGTAGCAATTGAAAGTACCATATTAAGCATTGTTTTTGTATCAACAATATGCGTTGTAAGATAATCGAATAACGACCCATTTTCATGATAATCAGTTACTAGCCATAGCTGCGTCCACGTACCATTATCTACAAATACATATTTAGAAACTTTCACATTTCGCAAAAACCTAATTATTTATTTCTGACCTTTATTATCTGCCGCAATAAAACCTAATATATTTTCATGCCTTAACATAACGGTTTGATAGATTTCTGCTTCTCGGAACCATGAACATTCCTCACGACTAGAAAATATTTTGACTGCAACATTTTCACCACGCCAACGTCCACGGTATACCTCACCGAAGCGACCCTTTCCAATAACATGGCATAATTGTATTTGACGAGCAATAGATCGCTGCACCAATAACGGTAAACCAGCTAAATAATAAAATAAATATATTTTCATAAAATCATAAATGATCAGTTGCTGTATGGCGATATGATATTATATAGTCATTAGTTGTACAGATTTTCTAAAAATAAAAGAAATGTTTAATGGGAAAATTATTGGTTCGGGAAAAAATGTTGGAAATAAGTTTACTAGCAGTGGTAAAAGTTTAATACTTTTCAACAAAAATCTGCGTCGGGCTTAATCTTTGAAATCGAAACTTTTAATGACATTTTTAACATCTACATCCCCAATGTCTATGTCTTTGTTCAGGCATTCTATAGTAAATTGAAGTAAATTCAAATTATTAATTTTAAAAAAATGTAGAAATGATATTATCCGGAAATCAAAATAAGAAAATAATGCTAACTATTCAATTTGTAGTGGGTCTGCTATAAGTTAACAACACCAGTGTTAACTGGAAACTGAAATTTTTATAGATTTCCAAAGATCGAATTTATCTAATATTTTTTATCCCATTATATATATACGATGATATATGATATATATGATTGGCCAGAACCAGTACGGCTAACTTTATTTCTTATGTTATGTTTCTAATAATATTCGCCTTAAATTCTTTTTTATCAAAAATTTTCTCATCGAACTAAAGACAGACACAAGTTATCTTTCTTCAACTACTTTTTACCGATAAAATGTGGTTAATCAGTGAAAATGGTTTTATTGTTGATGTTCAATTTTCAAAAGTTTTTTCACTCTGGTTTTTATCACACAGGACAGCTTCTAAGGGCGTAGAAAAACGCTTAATTTTTTTCTTAATGTTTGAGAATAAGAAAAAGTCATTGGGTGCAATGTCGTGGTTATAAGGATTGCTGTTTTGTTTCGGTCTCATGGACGTAGAACCATGATTCGTCTCCCATCACGATGTCGTAGACACCAAGCAATACGTACTTTCTTTTGAACGATTATAGGAATTTAACGATAACAAATCTCTAAACAGCTAAATGTATATGTAAAACTGAGTGTATCCTGGTCCCCTAATGCCTAAGAACTCCTCTATCTCCCGGTATGTAACATACCGATCCATCTCAATTATTTCTCGCACTGCGTCGATATTTTATACAAATCTATCGATTTGTATATGTAAAACTGAGTGTATCCTGGTCCCCTAATGCCTAAGAACTCCTCTATCTCCCGGTATGTAACATACCGATCCATCTCAATTATTTCTCGCACTGCGTCAATATTTTCTGGTACAACAGCAGTTCTTGGACGATCTTCGTGAAACTCGTTATGAAGAAAACGACGACCACGCTCGAACTCATTTAACTACTGTTTTATAATCAATGGATGTGGTGTTTCATCACCAAATATCGAACATAAGTTGATCAATATATTCTTTTTGGGTTAATAAGCGTCGAAAATCGAAAAAAATCACCGCACGAAAATGTTCATTATTTAATTCCATTTCTTGCCAGAGACACAATTTAGAATCGGTGTGAAGAACAAAATAAGCGCGCGAAATTTATACTAATAAATATCAAACTTTTGCAGAGAAATGTCAGAATTCATTTGATAATACTTAGTGTTGCTTAGGCGTAGAACTTAAAATTATATAATTAAAATTTCAACAAATTCTAGAAGTTTGAAATAATGCATTATCAAAACTAAATAAGTAACTTACTAAGCACTCTAGTACTCATGTTACTAGTATTTCAGTAATACGATAAAGCACATTAGTGACTATCATATCAAATTCTATATTATTATTAATCCTCTAATATTAACAGAGCTTCTTTTATTAGTACAATATTCTATTAGTACATTATCTATGGAAATCATATAAAGAAATATAAAAATAAATATTTTGTACGGTACCTGAACCAGAGCCAGATGTTGTCATCTCAATAATATCTTGTAAGGTATTGCCATTTAAAATGGGATCGTACCCGGAATCATCTGGTGCAAATGCTCGTCCATTAGAATTTTGTTTCTTTTTTTGGCAATAACACCAGAAAAGAGTTATCAGTACGCAAATGATTAAAGTTGCTCCAAAAATAATAGCAACAAGTACCCAAGTGCTCAGAGACTGTTCCGGTAGCAAACCTAGGTATATAACAAAATATATTAAAATCAATTAATTTATACTTCTTTAATTATTAGCAATATTCACGTATAAGAGCATGCAAAGAACAAGTGATTCAATTATTATTAACACATAAACATTTAAACTACTTTCAACACAAATTAGTACTAACACATTATTTATACCAATAATCAATATATTAAAGCATGCATATTGTTATATTCGCATATTTTTTGTACGTACCTCAGCAAAACTAATGTGTAGTAATTTCAAATAATAAAATTCAAATATTATTATACTTTATACATAATAAATAACACAAACATCATAAATTTTTATATTTTATATTTTATGTACTTCGCAATGAAAGAGAGTTATAGCTTATGTCACTCCTTCATCTCAATTCTACAAAATACCAAAAAGAAGAAGCTAATAGGTAGTAACAATAAATAATCTACAAATATAGGTATAATAATTTTAATACGAGGGCATAATTAAATGCAAGCACTCCCTATATATGAAAGTAAATATAATTTTATATGACACTTTTGATGTTGTTTTTAGACTGCTAAGCCACACTTCATTTTTTTATAGTTTTTTAGCCATGACTACGACTTCCCGAACATAACCATATAACAACAGATTCTAGTAAAGACAGTAATTTGGAGCTTTTATTTTGACTATCTGATATGTTAATATGTCTAGTATTCTAGATATTGGGTTAATGTTGAAATGTCTCTTCATAAAAGTATAGTAATCTATTTGCTACTCAAGGTTTGTCTAATCTGATCTAATATTAATATTAGATACCCCAGTTAGCGTTAAATGGTGTGTGTAGTTTATTGTTAGTGTAATTAATGCAAAAGGTCCTCGATATCTGGATAAGTAACATACAATGAAATAGAGAGTAAAGAAACAAGTTGCGAAAATAACTGACTTTACTAAAATCCCTCGCCAAATATCGGCGTACCCGAAATATCGATAATCTGTTATTTGTTTAAGGAAACATAATTTCATTAAAATAAAGTGGTATTGAAGAACAGAAAACAGCAAACGCATTAACAAAGGCAATAACCGAATCCAGATAAGTAGCTAAAGGATATTGATTTTCATCTTATACTGTGAAAATAATTAACAACAGAATGAGCATTGACAGTGCTCTACAAAACGGAACTTTGTTTGGAGAACAAATTATTTTATAATTTAAAATATGTTACTAACACGACTAAACAACCAAATAAGCACTTACTTTATTTGAAACAAAGTATTTATGTAATATGTACCTCTCTTAGAATATTTTGCTTTTTTTGACAACAGTAACGTATTTACGATGGAACGTTTATTATAAAAGTTTTTAAAAAATAACCATTTTTATGTTATATATATAATGATTTTGTTTTTAACATTGCATAAGAAATATAAAGTTGTCTTGAATTGGATTACTTGAAAAATAAATATATATTTACATTATTATGGATAAAGTCTATTAAGACGTAACTCATTAATCATCGAAAACTACTCTATATAAACAGTACACATTTTTGATTAGATCGATGTCCATCTGTAGGTCTGTCTAAAACGTTTTAAAATTCAATGAATTCACTTATAATAATAGTAAAAATCAATCAGATGGCAGACGTCTTGCGAAACATAACTATACTACTATTGTCTACTTATTACCAACAATAATATTTCAACAAAACAATACCCACGATGAAGTCGTTTGCCGTCCTAAATTCAATTCAGTTTAAAATATTTGACGTACCGGATGTCATCGCACAATAAAAAGCAGAATAACACCACAAAACTAAAATGGTAATCACAAATCTTGCTAACTTTAATCGATTCCAAATAGGTTTATTCAAAAATAGCTTTATTTGTTACAAATTATTCAAATATACAAAAAATACTAAATTAAAATAAAACTTTTATAACTGTATGTATTTAAAACATATTAATTCAAAAACAAACTGTCTTGTACCATTTATAGATATACTATATATAATTGAAAGTCTGGTCTGACTAAGCATTACCTCAATGTAATTACGATCTGTAATATTTTTTAATCCTGAAATATCGGATCCTAAAAGTGTATTGCCTTCAGAATTTCATAGCAAATGGAGTAAAACGCTTGTGTATAGAATTCACGTGTCACATGCAGGATAAACCTCTCCTAAAATAAATGTGACTTAAGTCAAAGAGACATATCTCAATCGACTCTCAAAAGTAGGAATATATCTGAGGACTTAATAGATAAATTTTGAACTCAACAGAATTTAAAAACACAAAATAAATAATTCATTTCCAAAATACATGATTTCATATAATCAAACCATAGACATATTATAAAGATCTTACATAAACCACATAGACACCCACCTCGTTACCATATTTCTCCTCAAGGAATTTAAAAACGGCGAATGCCGAAATACTTATTTAAACATATTTTAATTATTAAAGTGTTTTGCCCTTTACAGTAAATGGTGAAATATCGAACGGAATTATGAACTCGTTCGTTCGTTACGAACGAACACAAATGATGTCAGTCTGGAGATCAGACGAAGAATCACCATTGCTAATAGGTGCTACTATGCGCTCAGTAGGGAATTGGGATATAGAACTCTCTCTCGACAAACGAAACTTACGCTCTATAGGTCGCTCATCCTCCCTGTGCTTCCGTATGGCGCAGAAGCATGGAAGTTATCACAGAATGATGAAGCAGCACTGGGAGTGTTCGAGAGAAAAGTTCTTCGTAAGATCTTTGGTCCTCTACGAGTTGGCGACGACTACCGCATTAGAATGAACCAAGAGCTGTACGAACTTTACCACGACATTGATATAATTCAGCGCATTAACATCCAGCGGCTTCGCTGGCTTGGTCATGTCATGAGAATGGATGAAGATGCTCCAGCGAAAAAGATGTTTGAAGCAGTAGTTGGCGGAAGAAGACGTAGAGGTAGACCGTGTCTCCGGTGGAGTGATCAGGTTGAGGGAGCACTAACTGGACTTGATATACGAGACTGGAGAAGGCGCGCACGCTGCAGAGGCGCCTGAGGAAACATGCTGCGTCAGGCCGAAACTCGGTAACGGGTTGTTATGGCCACATAAGTAAGTAAGTTATGAACTCGTTTCCTAATGCAGGAAGTAAACATGTTGTGATATACAGAGCTTGGGATATATGTACATTACTGGGGACTTTTATTTTCAAATAAACTGTATAAAAATAAATATAAAAACAACATCTTTGTTAAATAGACTTGCTTTAACAATTATTTACAGCTTCTTGGGTCTTGTATTTGGATTTTAAAACATTGATCTAACAAAAAAACTCTATTTTGATTGTGGCTTCATAAAAATATACTCCTTTGATTCTAATACACTCGTATCAAAGTTTTTTGAACATATCTACATATTTCTTATAGACCGATTTAACTTTTAATTCGGAATGGAATAGCATCCTTTTGAGATTTGTCAATAGACAACGACGAATGAGCCCACAACTTAAAATACAATTCATATCATTTGATGGTTCGACTTGTGTCTTTACGTAGTATTCATAGAGTCATGATGAAAGACTCATATTTTTCTCTCTATTTATGGTAACTTCTTGCAATTGTATTCTATCCCATGAATACTGCTACATAATATTCTTTGTTGATGGTATTTCTATTTTCAAGGTAATCGACGAATATTACACCGAGTAGGTTTCAAAATACAGATGTCTTATCCTATTTGACCAACTGTTACATTGTATGTAATAACTTTTCTAATAGCATTTTCAAGGATAAACGTTGGAATAAAATATTGTCTACTTTTTTTTTTGATATATTTACGATGTCAATTTTTTTTACTTGAGCAACTAAAGTGTTCGATCTAAACGATGTCTACAAAACACATCATCAATATTTATTGAGTTTTATAAAATTTTTCAAACTATTCTTTTTTTTTAAGTTACATTAATATTTTTCTTTAGTTTGAAAATTTAAAGTTAATTAATTCAGAAATACCACTTTCACTTTTCAACTAATATTCGAAATGTACATATAAAAATGGTATGCATAACATTTTAACATTATATTCAAACGATGATTTAAACAGCAGCAAAGACTCTTAATCATATTTTATATGTAAAGTTGAGATAAAAAAATGTATTCCCTTAAATCCATGCAAATATATTTGACTCATTTGATAATGAATACAGAGCTATGTCAGAAAATTTAAATTCATCTAAATAGATTTGAAATCATAGAAATCTTATACAAATCTAATCTTATACAAATAATACTAAATTGATTATATTAAATGAATCACAACATTTACGTATAATGTTATAAGTGATTATAACATAAAATACTAATGAAAATAAATGATATATGAACAAAATATTAAACTTTTGAGATCATAACGTTTAAATACGAAAGCACCAGAAAACAATATGAATCTTTTTTTACACATCTTTTAAAATTAAATAAATGATCAACGAAAATGCTTATGACTCGGTACAAGAATGAATTCATTTCATGGTATGAGGAATTAGGGGTATGCAAAGTTCATATTCATTGCTTATTATCTCACCTTTGAAATTATTTCTTGTATTACACAAATCATCGTAACAACATTCTACGTGGTAGGAATTTGACTTTTCGTGACACCAGGCTGGATCATCAGGCGGGATGTGAGTTTCTAAAGACATGCATCTAACACAATAACCAATCATTTTAGAGTTTAAGTTTTTGTTAACCACTTTTTCACTAAAACTAACTTATATTCTTATATTACTCGCATATAATAATTATAAAATAATCTATATCTTACGTATCTAATATTTACGTAGATCATTACAAAATAAAAACAGATTTAAAAATTATTTTTTTAAAATAAAAACACCATTATTAGACCGAGGATCATTCTCGGCCCGATCATTCAAGGTTGCCTAAATAACATCAACATCAACATCAACATATATGGTATATCAATTCTAATCTAAGCCTCTAATAGTTGTGAATTGCGCACATTTTATAATATATCATATAATATATATTACTATCTGTGTTAGTAGAGCAGCTAGGAATTATAATTACAATAAAAAATATATAAAAATAAAATAAAAAATTATCGAACTACATAATCATAAAATTGTTACTTATCTGTTTATTACTAAGTACATTGCCCATTAAATTCTACTTAAAAAAAAATATCCTTAGCACATGGTTTATGGTATAGAATTAATCTATCTAATAACACTTGACACCAATTCAAATAATTAATTTATATTTTTAATATATTACAGTCATGTTATTAACAAACATTCTTTGAAGGTGCAGTTCACTTTATTTTAGAAAATAAAGTTCATATAATCAAAAATACGAAAGGAACTTAATTGACTTATGTATAATTTTTTTTTTTGTTTTTTTTTTTTGGATCCGCAACCAGCTCAATAGATATTATATATATTTAAATAAGGTAAATGAATTAAGTATTATTATATATAATAAAAAATATTGCATGCAGATTACAAGAACAACACTACTTGAGACATTATTACCAAGTATTGTAATTATTCAATAAAAAAAGAACAAAAGTGAAGTGAAGTGAAGTGTTGGATAAGTAGATTAGAGTAAGTAAAATTTAAGTTGCTACAATGCAATTAAAAAGCTTGTACCGCAGCATCGTTCGGTTGCTGACTAACTTGTGCATCAATCTAAAATGTTAAGTAATTGTTAAAAGTGTATTTGGTGGTAAAGTTTGAAAAACAAAAGTGCGCAAATTAAAAGATAAAAAATAAATTCTATATTTTAATTATTGGTGTATATAATTGTGTAAATTTACAATATTGATTCAAATATATTGGAGTATGTTGTTAAAATGTATTTAATTCATAGGTATTGTACCTGTGGTGAAATTCAATTTTAAAAGCTCATCTTTATTGCAGAAATCATAATCGCAACATTTAATCTTATATATATTTTGCTTTTTACGGCTCGTCAGGCATTCAAGCGGTTCACGCTGTAGATCATATACTTTTTGGAGGCATCTACGAGTACATTATATGCATTGGGTGTAAGTTTGGATCAAGTTCAATTATTAAAAAACATATTGTAAAATTGTTGGCGTTGTAAAGGCATTCGTATTCATTAAGTTAGTAAAAACAAATTTTAAATATAACACAAATAAAACACAAATAACAGAAACAAATTAGGGGATTTTAAATTATGTATATGTAAAATTTATATTTGTTACGATTTGCAGTTTACGACTGATTTGCAAAGAAACAGTTTAGAACGAAATGTTAGGTGATTTAGAACAGTTCGAACAAGCTAGGTTGCCATTATTTTCTAATTAAGTATTTTTTGTCCTTGCATAACTGATGACATATTCAATTCAATTAAAGTAAATTTGGTAGCAAAAAACAAGCTATGTGACTTCTTACTAACGTAACAAGAAGTTACGCTAGTAACAATCAAACAATTCGATCAACGAAATGTTTTTGCGGGTTCCTCGCACCTTCTTTATTTCGCTCCAGATCTATCGGATGCAATTTTATTTTTGGTCTCAATTTTAAATTACACAAATCACGCTCTTTGCAGCAGGCATGTCCACCACGAACAGCAGCTGGACGTGCTGTTGGTCCACCATTAGTACCATCATTACACCATATGAATCGACCAGGTGGGAAACTTTGAGTTAAATTTAAACATCTACGAATAGGGTCATTATTCGACACCAGAATATATTTTGTGATTTATTATGAGATACATTATGTTATATTTATTTAAATATTTTATATTTATATTGTCTTCTTAAAAGAATAACTTACGTACAAACTTACCTATAACTAAAAGTTGTCGCATCTGAACCTTTTTCTACAGACGTAAAGCAATATCCATCTGTTTCGCATATAAAATTTGTTTCCTTGCAAATATCGCAATGACATTTTAGAAGCCCTTAAAAATAATATAGAAAATTGATAAATTATTTATATATATTGTATGTAGTATTAGAGGGATTTCGAATACAAAAATTTCTATTAACTAAAATAATCACTAATTGCTTATTACTAGAAGTATTCTAATAACATATGGGTTCTATAAAGAAATTTTTTTACTTAAATTTAATTTGTCTGAAGTTACATTTTATTTCAGTGGAATGACACTTTTGCAATATCATTTTTGGGCTAGTATTTTGGGCACGTCATAAGTCAACTGTTAACTGACACTATATTAATATTAAGAAATGTCTGTCAAATCATCACTCAAAAACTTATTCTGAGCAGCGTTTATAAATTACTTATATATGTATCCAAAGGTAAATGTTTAATAAAACATGTTTAATAAAACAGAGTGCAACAGCCCACTTTTGCTTTAGCTTACATTGGGAATTAAGAAGACCCAAATACGATCTCATGAACTATCAACACACCTTGAAAATATCCGTATTTGCTGCAGTTTAAGGACTGCTTTCATGATTTTGAGAAACTTGTTCAAAAATTAAGAAAATCAGAATCAAAATGTTACTTCCAGTTGAACACACGACGGGGTTCATATCTAAGTAAACTAGTTCTAGACGGGTTTTGGTTTCCGTAATACTGTGATATATGTTACAGAATGTCACAGAAATCAACAAGTAATTGAAGCAAGTGTTTTGTGACTATATAATTTCGTAAAATAGAGGTACGGTATGGCCTCCAAAATCATGCAATCTAACGCCAGTAAAATGTTTTAGTAAACAGTATTTGAAGTCATTGGTGTATATGGCCATTGTAAAAAAGATATTAGGACTAAGTCTACGTATTTCATATGAGTATATATATATAATAATTTTACTAATATTGCGATTTACTTGCTTAATCAACGCCAAACTGATAATAGAGAATTAGGTATTTAGGATTAAAAATTAAAGTATGCTCAGATAACAAAATTTATAGAAGCAGAGTTTATAGAAGCAAAAATAATAATCACATTTATTTTTAATTATAAGGATATTGTTTGAAATGTAAATGCAAACTTACACATTTTAAATTTAATAAAATGAGCTCTTCATCTACAATAGAGAGAAATAAAGAAAGAGCTATTGCACACCTACATTTATACATTAAATATCCCTTGAGAAAAAGTCTCCCAACAAACTTTCAAATCTTAAAACTAAAAATAAAAAGAATTAATTAATACTCATAGCTTCAGTTAACTATTTACAATTATTTTAATATTATAAATTATTGAATTTTGTAATGCATAAGAATTAAACTGATTAAATATTTTTAGAAGACAAATGTAAAAAAACTTAGAGCGTGGGTTAATATTTTTGCGTAATTTCAATGAAGGTCGAGTTTGCAATAATTGTCTGTCCAAGTGGTAAGTCAAGTCTTTGTTCATATTTGCCTTCATCCTTAAAAAGTAGAATTTTCAGATATTAATGAACTTTATCGCTTCTTTTATAAAACAAAACGCTAATAATAGAGTGAAATATAGTGATTTTGGATGTACGATGGACTAAACTTTAGTGCCTTACTTTCATTTGAATTAGTTAAGTATTGAGATGTTTATGCTATGTTGATCTCTTGTCCAGATACGGCACTGTATTTGCTTATGGGATAGAGTCCGTTCCGAGTGACTTAATGAAATTAAATGTTCTGCAATAGTAATCGTATTTTCTGCAGTGCAATATACTTCATTTTCATTTCAGTTACTTAATTGTAAATAATTTAACAGAAATTTTGGAATCACAAACAGAGAAAACAACAAGATTTAGATATTTACATCGTCTTCATTACATTTCAGGCACATTCAGACAGTTTTTAGATAATATTCAAATGAAATTATGTTTCAAACCTGATTAGCAGAGTCACTATATACTCTACTGCTGGAATGATTTGATTATTTACAGTTCATTCAGACATTAACTGGTTTTTACTTCTACTAAGAAACAACATATTCATTTCAACCAATAATTCGTGATCAAAATTTGATTTTCTTGTGTAGCTTTTTATTGGATAGCACTATCATAGAATATTTTTAAATACAAATATTATTAACATAAGGCTTTGGGGAAACATCTACTACAACAGAGATAATGCCGATTGCATAATATATTATTTAACTTCTAAATTTAAATCTATAACTTAGTTTTGCGACACTTATTTCGAATTTAGATTCTAACTTTTTGGAAGATTTGTCAAAAACGCTAACAGAATATTTGCACACTTAAAAAATACCCTGGTAGTATAGTAAATTAATATATTAGTGGAAAATTTAATTTAATAGAGCAAAACAAAAAAGAATTTGAAATGAAGCGACATTTTTTTTTATTTCAAAAATTACAGTCTTGAATAACAGGTTAAACCCTAATTTTTAATTTACTGACACTGAGAATTCACTTTAACATAAAATAACAGATTATGATTCAATATATTCAATACACCTCAAAATTTATTAGGAAAATAATTCCTGAATTTTGAAATAAGAAATTGGCTGTCGCATTTTCAATAATTATTTTTTAAAAAAACATATACTCTATAACATTCAGTGTAAATTCAGTGTACATATTGAGAAATAAGTTTCAGCTATAAAACATAGGTATTTTCACAGTTAATTCATTAAACTCTCATTTGAATATTTTTGTGATAAATAATATAAGTTACTTTTAACTGCATAATTTATATGCCACCTGAAAAATGTGCACATATATAAAATATCTGTATTTCTTTTTTTTCATTTGAAAAGTTGAGTGTTGTAAGAAAAATAAATAAAACTCTTATAATGATAACTTATTTCTTTAACCTCTATAATTCGAAAATTTTGAAGTTTGATGCTTTCCTTGTCCCTTGGTATTTGAATCTAAAGATTCTAATGTATATCCTTTTCACATTTTGTGCATAACAAAATCTTATACTAATCGTTTAATAGTCTAAAAATACAGTTTAAAAATTATTTCCCCATATATTGCTCTTTTTCATATTAAATAAAAAGTATACAAAACATAATTTGTGATTAGACTGAAATATATGGCATATAGTTAGTTATGTGCTACATATATAATTGGATAAATAAATAAAAATATAAATTGTAATATGATTCATTTTTTGTGTAAATAACTTTTAACTATCAATCTGTATATTGACAAATAATATTTATATATTCAAATATAATTAAAATACTATTAATGTTTAACTGCCACTTACTGTCACGTTTTTTATGGCCATAATATACTGTAGGCAAAGTATTTATAGACATAGGCGTTTGTTGCGGCGCTAATATTGATGGAATTGTTTCAGATATCTTAAGATCAGTAAGGATATTATTATTTTGTGTTTTGTTTGAATACTGAGCATTTGGTAGAGGATTCCAGTTTGGAGACGCATTTATTGTAATCCCATGGTTGGTAGTATTTAAAACGATTTCAACTGGACTAGCTAGAATTTATGAAATAGTGAACAATTTAGCCAATAATAATTTTAAAATGTATATTCAAAATCATTCATTACACACCCGCAACTCTGTAGTTTATGGTGAATGCCCCAACAAACGTAATTATTACTACGTATAAAAACTGTGGCTGCACGGCTATGTAAATATTTCGTAAAATTCTCATTTTGGACATCGTAAAACTAATATCTTGCAAAATTATTGCAATTATTTATGTTACTAAGACCGTGGCAACAGCAAGTGCCGTTTATACCACTGCCCCATGAACAAAACCAGTTGAAAATGGTAAGATACATTTAGGTCGAGTATAGACAAATTTATTTTAATGCATTTGTTTTCTTAGTCAACCAAAATAGAACAGATAATAATTCTAGTAATTGCCACTTTTGTTTTGGTAGTATTCACAAGATACAATTGATTTAATTAATTCACTCTTAATTATATTAAAAACTCCACTCGCAGACTTTTTTGTTAAATTACTTAGCTTATTCCTTAATCTACTTTTTCTTTATTATCAGTTCTTATTTTATGAATGAAGTTAGCTGCGTTTATTCGAACATAATATCCACAACGGAGTTACCAGTCGCTAACACTGAAAAAAATTTTTATTCTTACATATTGGAAAACATTTTCAAATCTTATATGAAATTATAAGAACGACATAATTCATATGTATCTGCTTTTTTACATTCCCCTTTTTTTGTAATTACGAGCCTATCATTTCAGGAAAGAAACCAAATTTATTAAACTCCTACTTAGTTAAGCTTACTAAATAAATTTCATTAACCATGCACAGAGAGCTCTCGTGCTTTTTAACTAAATTAAAAATGTAATAAGAAAATTAGAACAAAACTGTCGAATGCAACTTTTAAAAATAAATTTCTCACAAGGAAAATCACCAAAAGTTGAAGTATTTGTCATATGTTTTGTATGTAAAATGTAAACAAACAACAGCTGAGCTGCAAACAAATACATTAAGGATGTCAGTACTTAATAAAATCTTTGTTTTAATTAATTGAATTTGTAATGGTTATATAAAATATATGTGTATAAATGATTTAATATATTAAATTAAATTTATTATTTTGTGTGGTATATTATTATATAAAGTTTGTTTAAAAGAACAGAAGCTCTTTTCAAAGTTTTTAACACATAAAAGCTCTTTTATATACAATAAGTAAATGATGGCAATGGAAATGACAAAATAATGAAGTTACTTAAGTAACTTACTAAGTAAGCAGTGCAAACACACTACTTATTATTTGTGTATAATAATCATATGAAACTGTGAATGTCTTTTAATGCATTTTATTACAATTTTTCAAATAAATACGTTGACTTACCCACTTTGTATTGCAAATATTTACTAAGGTTACTCTACGCCGTACCATATTTCAAATTAATAGGTCAACTACCTCACTTTATAGAATTATCACACAATGAACGATGAAACATCCGAGATGTTATCATGAAAAAAGACAACTGTACATTTTATCTCTAATGTTAATATTTATCGTAATATAATTTTAAAGAGCGCGTAAGAGATTCATTCAAAAATAAATTACTATTTTGTTGCGATAAAACATAATATTTAGTCGTAAAAACAATACATTATAATAAAATATAACTTTTATACAAATTAATGAAAGAGTAATTGATAAATTCGAAAATGGGCGTATTCAAAGTTTCTATATAAAGTGTGTTCTTTTCACATGAATGGTACACCTATTTTTGTCAGCTAACACAGTATATAAATCACGTTACACTTTTACTGTTAATTGCTCTATCTTTCAAAAAAGTCAAAAAATTAGAGTTTTAATTAATTACACAAACAAAGGAATTATCCAAGTACTCATTTTCAAAGGAATAAAAAAGGATTCAACAATTAAAATACAAGGCGAAACAAATTGCCATCTAGCGGAAACTAGCATATGAATTGTGTATGTCCGAACCGATGTGTTTATTTTATTTGTCATATAAGTTCATTTATGAAATAAATTCTGTTAGGAACATTATTGAATGGCAGTTCTCAGCTGTTTGCGTAAAATTAAAAACAATCAACAAAATGAGCTGTTTTCAATTGTTTACAGTTTTTTTAAAATAACTTTAAATTTCACGATTTGAAAAAGTAGTAACTAAGCCTAAAATTGATAAAAACACTACATTTTAGGAGCGAAGAGTTTCAAATGTTTTACGGATTTAGTCATTAATTGATTTTTTAGTAAGATTAAAAATATTAAAAGTAATCTGAATAATAAACATATATACGTATAACAATGCATTTGTTAATTTCACACAATGTGTGAGTAAGGTGGATAATGTTTGGGGGTCCAAATTTTTCATATATTTTGTTATTAATTATTTTAAGTATTCACGTTCTAGACAACATAAGGCAGGAAAAAAAAGCGTTCAGTCGAAGAAAATGATCGATCACTTCATCTGTTGCCGCAAGACTAGTGAAGTATTGGTATTGCATCCAATTTTAGCAGTATAGACAAATTCATTTAAATAGACTAAAGATCGTGATACTGGCTATTTATTGCAAGATAGCCAAACGTGGATACGATGAACTACCAAAAAGAAAGATCTACATACTTAATATATTAGTAATATGTGGGTTCTGATATCAGCCGCATTAACATAGACGGTGATTGAAAACAAATCCATTGAAGCAACTAATTCCACGAGTACTGTAAATATTTAGGAAAATCAAATTAAAATTTTTATTAAAATAATTTACTTTGACATCAGTATATGTACTGTTTTTTCTATATACAATTACTATATAAGTTATATATAGCTAATTTACTATAAAAGAATTACCTGTAAAAATAAATGATATTGGGTCTCAGGCAATATGTTTTCATTGCCTAAGTTGGTTAATGGAAAAAATAATGGGACCAATACAGATCTACTATTTCGTAATGTATTTTGTAATATTATGGGGAGGTTCAAACAATATAATAAATTAAGAACTTATTTTGAAAGCACAATATAGATAACCGTGTATCTTCGTATTTACAGGAACTATTTTATATTTCGTTATAATAAAATATATTAATTTCTCAACTATACCTACATATTTTTTTATTTTATTTTCCAATTTAGGTCATATTTGCGCTGTATCTTTTTGCCGCTACTCGGCGTCTCCAATTTCGAGTTGCCTTTTATTTTTTAAGCGTGGAGCTCGAACTTTTGTGTTTCTAAATACATTTTACAACTTCGATACTGCTATTTTAAATATTTGCCAAAAAAAAAAACGCGGAAATAGTCCTCGCTTTTTTACTATTTTTCATTAATTTTATTTGTCAAACTTGGAAAAAAACGGTTTGCAGCCATTCTCTATTCGTTTACTATCTCCATGATGCGTTTTACAAATGTTGCGGAATCTGCATATTTGTTTGAGTCATTTTCATATGCATTCATCCAAAACATCACACTTCCTTGGAAAATGTCTGAGTGTGTTTGTGATACTTGTTCCGCTTATTACCTGTACCAGTAACCACAACATGACACTAACATTCCACTAACATTTAACCATAATGTAGTTAAATATAGAGCAACTACGATTCATACATATCAATACTATAGCATAACAGTATTTATCGTATCTTGATATAACACAAAAGAATCTATACTCCTACCGGCGGAGAAAGATATAAAAGTTATTTTACATAACCATTTGTTATTCTTGCAAACTGAGTTTTGCTTTGAATAAATGTGCGTTCACATGCTTTCCTTAACTTTATGGAAATCTTTAAAGTAATATTATTGCCACTATTGGACCAGTAGCAAGTCTAAAATATAATACGATATACATAGTGCATTAGACATCACTGATAAAAATATCAGTTTAAAGTTTTATTCCGCGCGGTTATCTTTTTATGGACTTCCCTTCAGATTTACAAACCATAGAGAAAAACTAGTCACCATTTTTCAGTTACATATATAAAAGTAGTAGAGCTTTTGCAATTCTTTTTCCTGGGTTTGGCAATCAATTTTGTGTGCAGGGCTTGTCAATATTAAAAGTACTTCTCCGAGGTTTACCTAAGTTCTGCCCTGACAACTAATTTCATAGGGCGGCATTTTGTGTTGTATAGACATGAGCTTAAGTTTGCACTACCCATTTGTCGGAATGATAGGAATCGGTTAGCTATATACTAATTTATCCTTATTTATCCTGAAGAGAAACTATATATTTCATATATCTAAATTTATCTTAGGTCAGTTCAAGTCACTATATAGTTAGAGCAAAGAATCTATAGTACAAAGAAGTGCCACGCTCATACAAACGAAATACCCACTTTATTTTGCTGGTGGATTTATAATAAATCCACCCAACCTGATGCAACAATGTTCGATCGAGTCACATCTGGTATGATGTTCAGTTCAAACCTATATGTGAGTCGAGTAAGGCTGACAAAAGCCTGACTGCATTCGTATTCAATCATACATGCAACCCTCTGTATTACATTATATGCATGTTTGTATGTTTGTTCGCTGTAAAATGTTCAAGCGATCAAACAGCATTTCAGTGACGAAGTCAAAATTGTGTACATTTGATAAGTTTTTGAATTTAATAGCATATGAAACAAAATTACCTGTTTGCTATTGTTATAAATTGTAGTGTAAAAACACATTACAAATTTATTTATGTCTCAAATCTGATTTTTTCCATGCTATGAAGCTTTATTCTTAAATGTTGTCCATGCGCAATGTTTCCGAAGCAATATCGTAATCACCAATTTTAACATTTCAATCTGGTGTAAATAGCATTCATGCGCTTCCTCAAACCAGGAAGCATTATTAGAGGTTTTAGTGACTTCTATATATTTTTTCAATATAATTTTTCTTACTTTTCTAATATTTTTATTTTCTTTAAAATACTTTTCAAACACTTTTATATGAATCTTAAAAATATTTTTTAAAATAATCACAAAAAGTCACCAAAAATTCAAACTATTAAGAAGTAGTTCCTTTTGAGGTAAAATATATGCACAAATGTGCAATAAAAACATACATATTAATATACTGCAGACTTAATGTCTCCAATATCACATTTGTACATACATAATGGTTTTTGTAGTGCATCATTTGTTGCAATAAAAAAAATAATATATTCTATTACTCTTTACTCCTATGATATGGGCCTTTCCAGTACAAGAAGATAAAGCAACAAAGTGTATCGAAAAATTATTTGAGGGATTTCTTTACCATTCACTTCGCTACTAATCAATGTATATTAATAAAATAGACAAATAAAAACAAGAAAGGCAAAAGAAACAGGCGTATAAAAACAATTGTGGGTTGCAATGAGTTTGAACTGGACGTCATACCAGTTGTGACTCGATCGAACATTGTTCCATGAGGTTGGGTGGATTTATTATAAATCCACCAGCAAAATAAAGTGGGTATTT